AAAACATGTTCAGAGGACAGGGACCCAAATCAAAGCGAAAGCAGCATCTTCCAAGTAGAAAACCAGAAGTACTTCATTAAACACAAAGCACTCAGTGGGTTTTTTTTTTAAAAGTACCAAAAACAATTTCTTTCTGAAATTTCTACTTAAAGGATAGATCTATGTGTGCATGTGATTTGCCCAAATAGAATGGAATTTTTTTTTTGAGGAAGATTACATCTGCCACCAATTTTTTTGCTGAGGAAGACTGGCCCTGAGCTAACATCCACGCCCATCTTCCTCTACTTTGTATTTGGGATGCCTGCCACAGCATGGCTTGATAAGTGGTGTTTAGGTCCACACCTGGGATCCGATCCAGTGAATCCCAGGCCGCCAAAGTGGAACGTGTGCATTTAACTGCTATGCCACCAGGCTGGCCCCAGATGGAAATGTTTTAAGAATCAGTTTCATTATTTCCATTGTGATCTATGATTCCTAAATATACTGAATTGTAAGAGTGTCAAGATAATGCAATTGAAAGGTCCTATGAATTACTTTCTCAGACATCACTTTGTCTAGGGGAAGATCTCGTTTAGAACGGGCCAGTGAGACGGGTGGGGGAGGGGCAATGGGGAAGGTGGCAGGAAACCCACATCCTCTCCAAGGTGGTAAATGTTAACACACACATATGACATGTTAATTATGCACACACAGGGTCAGCTGAAACTACGAAACTCTTTAAACTGCTGGCCGAGGCCATGACTCCTGGGTAGACAAAGAAGTAGCAGAGTGTTGTAAACCACTTTCTCTCTCTTCACTTAGCAAAAGGTAATTAAATGCTATAGAAGTGACAGAACACCCTAGAAGGTAGAGGGATGTTGACTAAATAGGAATGAGCAGAAGGAAATCTTTCCGGCTGAAAAAGAACATCAGGCCAGGCAGCCGGAGCTGTGGCGCGAGAACAAGGGAGAAGTGAGTGGCAGCAGTGGGAGATGGAAGCGGGTGGGACACCCTGGCAGAGAGCAGCGAGGCATCCCGTGCCCACCCTGACTGTGCCCACTGACCCTGTCCATCCATAGCCTGGTCCTGGCCAAGCTGAAACTATCAGAAGTTAGACAAGACCTGCTGAAATTGAGGCTGTGTTCCCTGGCTCCCAGATGACAAAGGGAGCCTGAGAACAGAGAAGGGAAGGCTATGGAAAATGGAAGAAATCACTCACAATGATAGGCCCACGGTCTCATAGATATGACACCAGAAGCACAGCGACAAAAGAACAAAATGCATAAACTGGACTTCATCAAAATTAAAAATGTTGGTCTGCAAAAGACACTATCAAGAAAGTGAAAAAACCCACAAAATGGGAGAAATATTTGCAAACAATATATCTGATAGGGGATTTATATCTAAAATATATAAAGAATTCTCACAACAATAAAAAGACACGTAACCCAATTAAAAAATGGACAAAGGATTTGAATAGACATTTCTCCAAAGAAGATACATTAATGGTCAATAAGCACATGAAAAGATGCTCCATATCATTAATCATTAAGCAAATGCAAACCAAAACCAGAATGAAGATTCCACAACACGTCCCAGCAATTCCACTCCTGGGTACATACCCAAGAGAATTAAAAACATACGCCCACAGAAAAACCTGTACACAAATGTTCACAGCAGCATGATTCATAATAGGCAAAAAGTGGAAAGCACCTAAATATCCATCAACTGGTGGATGTATGAACAAAATGGTATACCCACACAATGGAATATTACTGGCCATAAAAATGAATGAAGTACTGATACACACTACAACGTGGCTGAACCTTGAAAACATTATACTAAGTTAAAGAAGTCAGAAACAAAAGGCAACATACTAGATGACACTATTTCCATGATACCATCGATATCCATACCACTGGATGATACATCTGGAAATGTCCAGAATATGCAAATCCATAGAGAGAGGGAGTAGATTAGTGGTTGCCAGGGGCTAGGGAGTAGGAGGGGGGTTGGGGGAATGAAGAGTGACTGCTAATGGGTTCAGGCTTCTTTTGGGGATGATGAAATCGTCCTGGAATTAGCCAGTGGTGATGGTTGTACAACTCTGCGAGTATACTAAAACCCAATGAATTATATATTTTTAAACTGGAAATATCATCATGAATTTAAGGCCTATTAAGAAACAGGTAATTGTTCTGCTCTGTCACTTAGGTAGCTAGGACCCTTGGGTCCACCTTCTCTACCTCCATGTAGAACAATTCAGTATGTACCCTAGTGCCTGTGTTTTGGACTCTAATACTATTCTCCACTAAGAAGAACCAGATCTCCTTGAAGGAGCAGCCGATTCATGCTGTAGGGCAGGAAGAATCAAGAAGAGCCAGGGACATCTTATTGTCAGGAAACAAAGGTGCTTTCACAGCCAACTTGACGATGGCATTAAAAAGAATAATGGGGTCAGCCTAAAGAAAGGGCTCTAGTGGCCAGGCAGCAGCACCCTGAACACCAAAAAGGAAACAATAATTACAATTCACTGGAGCAATTCCAAGACACAGCCCAAAGGGAAAATTATAAAGTATACTAGAGAAGTCATATCTACTGATGTGTCACTAATTTCTCATGAAAAGGGAAATGAGAAAAAGACAAATCATTCAATTGGTAAAGAATATAGAATACTATGATTGATTTTACTGATGAAATACTTTCTTCCCATTGAGTAGATTATATAGTTATTGTAGTAATAGTGATGGTAACATGTTTTCATTTCTCCTGGAGATATGAGACATTTTATGGAGACAAGCTTGCTGAGATGATAGCACAAGAACACTGGAATTCAGTAATCGCCCGTGGGTGGGCCTAGAGTTGGAGTCTCTTTAGGATGCTACGTCTAGGACACTGTCCTTTGACCCCCCAGAAGCAGCCCTCTGCGATGCATTAGAGCAGTTTTCTACCAGTTATTTGCACCTAGTGAACCGGCCCATAGCTAAACAGTAGGATTTGGGTATGCAGGAAGACAGAACGTAAAAATCCCTCTCAAAAAGACTTTTCAAGTCCAAAGGCAGTCTTCCTCCAAGGGACAGGAGCACGGCTGTGGGGCACTCTGAGAGCTGTGAGGAGGCTGCACCTCAGCCAGAGCATGCCGCGCCCTGCTGACCAATGCTACGGTCCCCTTCAGTTTTTGTACCGTTTGCCACAAACTTTACATCTATAACTGTGCCTACTGGTGCCCTCCTGCCAATCTCATCACCATTCCTGGGGGCAGCCACGCTGGTGAACAAGGGCCAGTCCATGCTTTGATCACAAAAAGTAAAGGGCTCGGACTTAACATGTAATGGGAAGCCATTTGGAGGGCTTTAAGCAGGAGCGTGACAGAATCTAATTCATGCTTTTAAAAAAACCACTCTGGGGGACGGTCCGGTGGTGCAGCGGTTAAGTTCGCAAGTTCCACTTCGGTGGCCCGAGGTTCGGATCCCGGGTGTGGACAAGGCACCACTTGCCAAAGCCATGCTGTGCCACGCTACTATAAAGTAGAGGAAGATGGGTACGGATGTTAGCTCAGGGCTAATCTTCCTAAAAAAAAAAAGAAAAAAAAAAAGAAGAAAAAAGAAAAAACCACTCTGACTGGTGTGAGGACACGCGACTAGAAAGACAAGTGAGGAGCGTCTAGCTGAGCAGTGATGGAGATGTGATGAGGAAACTTCTGGATCCAGCAAGGTGGTGAGCTAGGCTTCCAGTGAACCCCTCCCATGAGAAACATGTAGAAATGTTTGATAAAATACAATAAAAGCTATTTTAAAACATAGCCAAGCTCTAAAGAAAAGAAGAAGAAATAAAGGGGAGGCCTGGGGTGCTGGAACTGAAAACAGACTGTCCAGCAGAAGTGGTAAGCACACGGGGGATGGTGTAAAATGCCTGCAGCCCCCGTGGGATGGGCTATTAACACTCTCGTTCAGGGCAGCAGATGTGGTTCTGGGTCTCACACTCCATGAGGGTTACCTCCTCTCTACAAGACGCTCTAGAAGAACTCTGCCCACCAGCCCGTGAAAGCAACAGGAAAGCCTGTTTCTGCTTGGGGCTTTGGGTGAGAAAGCACAATCCTAAGACCATGCCATGTACAGATGTATCTGAATTTACACTCCCTATGTGCTACAGAAATACCAAACTAAGGAGTTAATATAAAAAACTAGTCCAGTAACAGTGAAACTCCTGGGGTATCCAACAAAACTGCTCTGTGGGTACAGATGTATGATCCAGGATGCTGGGAACTCCCATAGCAAACAATCAGTCCAGCTAAAGGGGCGCTCACAGGAGAAATGCATAACCCATGCTAATCCACAATCTAACATAAGGGCGAGTCAATGCCATCATAAACAGGAATTGACACCCCAGGAAACTGAAATAATAGAAGACTACAGGAGACTTTACAATTATTTTTTAAATGGAAGAATAGAAGCCAAGATGCAAGAAGATCACTATGAAAAAGAGGCGGTGGTGGCCAGGAGGAGATGGCTACAGTGAAGATGGTGAGACAAGTGGATTCAAGGACAGCTCACAGGAAGTGGTGACTATTTGGACATGGAAGAAAGGAACAAAGAATTCTGAGCCTTTAGCTTAAGCAGCTAGGTGGACACTCTGCCACTCACTGAGATGAAAAGACTAAAGGAGGAAGAGCTTTGCGGAGGGAGGGTGGGTTCCACGTTAGGTTGGGGGCACCCATTATACCTCCAAATAGAGACATCACGTAGGAGGTCGAATATTCAAATGTAGAGCTGAGGTTAGAACATGGGGCTAGAGATATCAGTTCAGGCATCGGCAGCATACAGGTGCTATCTAAAACCTTGTACTACACCACCTATTCATTCTTCAAGATGCAACTTCACAGTGACCTCCCGGGAAGCCTCACGTGACTCTTAAGCAGAGGGAAGGGCTCCTGGAGGAATGACTAGTCAACATCCCCTGGCACAATACCCCGGGAAGACTGGGCGCTCAAACATATTTACTGAATGAATAGAGGAGCTAACCTTCTGAGCGGCTAGGCTTTGACTGCTTTCGCTCAGAGCCAGAGATGTAAAATACTGGATACACTCATCTAGCTCCGTTTGAGGTAAAGAAGCCAGCAACTGTCTGAGCTCTTCTTCAATGGAATAATCCTGAAACAAAAGGAAAAGAAAACCAGCAGATAAATTAGTGCTTTTAGTCTTGAAAACAGTGACTCACCCAGGGAAAGAGAGAATCATTTAATTTTGAATTCTGTACTTTCATGTCTGCTACCTTGATCTGAAAGACCAACTGCAAAGTACAGCTCTAGATTTGCACCTTACGGGCTACTCCACATCCTGACTCAAAATGGATTATTACCCTCTTTCTAACTAAAGCTGGCTTTGAAAATCCAGAACTCATTAATATCTGATTTTCTCTAACAACTTACATCTAGTATATTCATTTTTCTATTTTTCAAAAACTGCAAGTTTTCAGGTTTTTTTTTTTTTTTAAAGATTGGCACCTGAGCTAACAACTGTTGCCAATCTTCTTTTTTCTCCTGCTTTTTCTCCCCAAATACCCCCAGTACATAGTTGTATATTTTAGCTGTGGGTCCTTCTAGTTGTGGCATGTGGGACGCTGCCTCAACGTGGCCTGATGAGTAGTGCCATGTCCGCGCCCAGGAGCCGAACCAGCGAAACCCTGGGCCGCCGAAGCAGAGCACGAGAACTTAACCACTTGGCCACGGGGCTGGCCCCCCCTTTTTTTCCGAAAGATTTTATTTTTTCTTTTTCTCCCCAAAGCCCCCTGGTACACAGTTGTGTATTTTTTTTAGTCGTGGGTCCTTCTAGTTGTGGCATGTGGGACACCGCCTCAACGTGGCCTCATGAGCAGTGCCATGTCCAAGTGCAGGATCCAAACCAGTGAAACCCTGGGCCTCGGAAGCAGAGCACGTGAACTTAACCACTCGGCCACGGGGCAGCCCCAAGTTTTCAGATTTTCATTTTCTAGGAAAAGCGCTCAAGAAATATGCTCTAATATCTACATGAGTGGTTAATAACTAATATATATGTATAGTAATACATTAATATCTATACATAGTAGTTCTCCAGGGGCTGTTTTATACCCTAGCAAACATTCAGCAATATCTGGAGACATTTTTGGTTGTTACAGCTCCGGAGGTGCTCCTGGCATCTAACAAGCAGAGGCCAGGGATGCTGCTAAACACCCTGAAATGTACAGATCAGCCTCCAGCAACACAATTATTTGGCCCAACAGGTTAATAGTGTTGAGGTTGCGAAAAACTGATCTATAGCAACCTCAGGACAATGGGTCAGTTCATGGCTGCTGATACACTGTGAAGTTACCCTCTGGTGTACCGAGACTCCAACCCCAAAGGAGAAAATAACATAAGAGAGAGCAGCATCTCCTGGGGAATCAAGAAACCTTTGTACGGAAACCATAATTTCAGGTTTATATCCTAGTTTACCTGCTTGTGAAAAATAGCCAACAAACTGCTTTTTGAATGTTTACTTTGCACCCAAAGTAAAGATGACATGTTAAGCTATTTTTCACTCACCGGTTTATTTACTTACTTCTGTTAAAGATGGCAAACTAGGTGGTGGGAGAAAAAAGCGAAGATCACTCTCTTTGCTTCGTGCCAAACCAATAAGAGTCCTCGGATCACAGGCTTGAGCGATTATCCTGTACTGGTAATCTATTGTAAGAGTACATCATTAGCACCCAAAGTAGCTTACAGTTGTTTCAAGGATTAAGTGAACAATTTAATTTAATGGTAAACTACAAGTTTGTAATTCAAAATTTCCCAAAGTTTTTTCACAACTACAACTGCATTTACAATACCAATAAGCTAAATAGCCAATATTTCCATGACTGATCTCACAATTCTCCTTAACATATTTTTAGGTCTACCAGTCTAACTAACCTTTTTAAAAAAAATGAACCTCAAATGTGAAAATGGATAGCTCAGAATCAATTTAACATCTTCTCCCTTTCCTTTTTTTTAAAATAATTCTAGTGTTCAAAAGCTGTTTTGATCACTCCTCAAAAACCCGAGGCTGCGTTTTGATCTCTTGTCACTGGTAACAGTCCAGTGCTTGGCACTCATTCCACGATGCCCATGAACAACCTGAGGTTCCAGGTGGTGGCACTTGGTTTTGGCCTTCATGGTGTGACCATTCCATTCTTTATGTATTGCCACAGAATGAATGTTTGTGTCCCCCAAATTCACATGCTGAAACCTGATCCCCAATGTCATGGTATTCGGAGGTGGGACCTTTGGGAGGTGACTAAGTCATGATGGTGCAGCGCTCACAACTGGGAACAGGGCCCTTATAAAAAAAGACCTCAGAGAGATCCCTTGTCCCTTCTGCCATGTGAGGACGCAGTGAAAAGACAGCCATCTATGAACCAGAAAGCAGGTCCTCACCAGACACCAAGTCTGCCAGCACCCCGATCCTGTATTTCCCAGCCTCCAGCACCAGGAGAAATAAACTTCTCTTGTTTATAAGCCACCCAGTCTATGGTATTTTGTTACAGCAGCCCAAATGGACTAAGACATGAATCAAAACAAAACTGCAACCACTGAGGCAGACGTTATTTGTAATAATGGCAGCTCATAACCTGGGTGAGGTCTTCAGAATCAAGTGGGAAACTCTTCCAAAAGCTACATGCCAGGGCTCCAACTCTGATTTTTCTCATATAGTAAGTCTGAAAAGGAGTCCTCGAAGGCAGATTTTGAAAAAGATTTTTATTCTAAGTCTCCACTAACATTAAGTAAGCTTGTATTTACATTATAAATTATTACAATTACAGCTACCAATCAATCAACTAATTAACTTGTATGGAGGCAGCGATCTTATTCTGCGACTTGACTTTTCTTTGAAAACATTATTCTTTTTAATTTGTTTACCCATTTTTTTTTTAAAGATTTTATTTTTTTTTCCTTTTTCTTCCCAAAGCTCCCCGGTACATAGTTGTATATTCTTCGTTGTGGGTCCTTCTAGTTGTGGCATGTGGGACACTGCCTCAGCGTGGTATGATGGGCAGTGCCATGTCCGCGTCCAGGATTCGAACCAGTGAAACACTGGGCCGCCTGCAGTGGAGCGCGCGAACTTAACCACTCAGCCACGGGGCCAGCCCCGAATTTGTTTACCCACTTTTATAAGATGATTCTATGAACAAAATGTACTTGGGTTCCTGCACTATAATAAGAGCAGATCTGAGGTCTCACTCGTGTGCTTTTACTGCAGAACTTGACATTAAATACAATTACATATTTTAAATATTTTAAATCTTCCTTAGAAAATAATATACACAAATCAGGTACGGTTGACTGATTATTAGTATTAGCACCAAGTCGATTGTCAAAGTGAAAGCAAATACAACCATATAGTGCAGCAAGCAATTAAAATGTATTTCACTAAAGAGGAACCAAAAGAAAATGCAAATACAACATTAGGCTATAACTATCAGAATCAAGAGTTTCTTTCAAGAGTTTCTCTGATCAAGTAAAACTTTGTTCTGGTAGAAAGTTAGACAAATATATCTACTTCAGTTTTTTGTTTGTTTGCTTTTGGTGAGGAAGATTGGCCCTGAGCTAACATCTATACTGATATTCCTCTATTTTGTAAGTGGGATGCGGCCACAGCATGGCTTGATGAGTGCTGTGTAGGTCTATGCCCAGGATCTGAACCCGAGAACCCTGGGCTGCCAAATTGGAGCATGTGAACTTAACCACTGCACCACCAGGCCAGCCCCTCTACCTCTGTTTTGACGCTGTTCTTACCAAATACATCTGGCTAACAGGCAGTAGGTTTTCCACTTTATCACTGAAGTTTCTTTTTAAAAATTTTGAGAATATTTTTTATATATTTTAAGATTGCCTAAATTATTTTCCTTCCTTAATATCTCATTCCCTTCTCTTCTATATGAGAAATCAGGAGCTGGCTGATGGTGTGCCATGTGTTCAGATGGTCTCATTACCATGCCAGTGGTGGGTCTCTGACATTTCCTGCACAGCCTGCAATCGTGCTGTCCTGTCATCCAACTTACTCTTCCTCAGGAGCAGCCACACAGCACATTCATGATCTTCTACGTCAACTGTACTAAAAGGGTCTTCGGAAAAAGGGAAAAATAACAAGACAAAGTGAACATTGTGAACAGCGAGAAGAACATTTTTATCCTCACATTTATTTAAGATGGTCCTTATAAATATATATATAAAATCTATACTAGGAGAGTTAAATCCATTTCCAGTATTGATCACGACTCACAGGCTTGTTCTCAGATGTGTCGTATTATTGTGTTACATTTATTATGTATACTATGTATGTGCTTTTGTTTTATATACTATGTTGCTTTCACAATGCGGTCTTTTTTTTTTTGGCTCTTTTTCCCTAAAAAGTTTTTTATTATGAAAAATATCTTACATATGGAAGAATTAAAAGAATAATACATTAACATCCATATGCTTACCAAAACTAGATTTAATAAATGTTATCATTTTGCCATATTTGCTTATTTTACATGCATGAGTGTAGTTTTTTTCTAAACCATGTGAAAGGAAGCTGTAGACATGATGACATTTTACCCTTTCACAGCTCAACCTGCATCTCCTAAGAGTAAGCTTGCATTCTCTTATATAATGATGACGCCACTATAACTGCCAAGAACACTAACAAAAATCTTCCAAAATCATGTAAAATCCAGTCTAACATCATATTCAAATTTCTCCAATTATCCCAGAAATCTTTGGAGCTGTTTTTTAAAACCAAGATTTGATTAAGTCTCTGCAGTCTTTTAATTCTAGAACATTTTCCCATCTTTTCTTTTTCATGATGCCAACTTTGTAAAGAGGTCACGTCAGCTGTTTTATAGCTGGCTCCACGTTGTAGATTTGCCTGATTGTGCAATCTGCATTTTTGATGCAATTCTCACTACGAGAAAGCATGGGAGCTATTTTCTAACAAACTCTAAATTCTGAAACACTCGAGGGTATATTTAGTCTCAATATTTATTTAAAACTATCTAACAACAATACATCCACAAAGATGGGAGGAAGAAAACTGTTTAAGGCATCAAGTCCTTAAAATTAAATATAGCCCAAGAGAATAACGTTATTCAATTTTCCATAGCTATAATAAATGTTAGTATAAGAAACGGAGAAAAAAATCTCAGGTTGATCATCAAATGACTTTCAGATTACTGAGAAGGATTCCAAGTTAAATACAGTCATGTGTCGCTTAACGATGGGGATATGTTCTGATTAATGTGTCATTAGGCGTCATTGTGTGACCATCATAGAGTGTACTTACACAAACCTAGATGATGTAGCACATTACACACCTAAGCTATATGGTGCTAGTCTTATGGGCCCACCATCACATATGCAGTCTGCCACTGACTGAAACGTTGCCATGCGGTGCATGACTGTATTTGATACTTACCAGCAAATGGACCCCGTAATATCTTTGCCGATGTTGCCAATACTTTTCTTACTGCTTTGTGAAGCTCTTTTCTTGCCTGGTAGGTGATTCCTAAAATGATAACAAATTTAAACAAAATCACGTGTGTACTCTAAACACTACGCTCCAATACTTCAAAGAGAAATATAAACTAAACTCCAAATTTGTTCAAAAAGAAAATATAAAATAGCATATTTTTCCTTTTTTTGGGTCATTATCAAAGCAACTAAAACCATTATGGGAACACAGAGCTCTAGATCCCAAAATAAGATTGCTCTCCAAGTCAGGGAAAAAGTAAAAACAAACCAAAAACACTATCTAACTAAAGATAACAAAAATCCTTATGAACAACACAGGATTAGCTACATTCAGGAAAATGCTCCTTAAAAATAGCCCCTCTCAAACCGAAATTTGGAGATACCTTACTAACGAGATTAAGCGTCACTATATAGGTAAATTATAAGCTATAAAAATTCTGTGTCATTGAAATTGTTAGCACACCATAACAGCACGTTGAACTACAGGAAGGCCAAATAATGACGACACAAACAGGACAGAGTGGCGCCACTGCAGCTCGGAGAACCTGCCGCACTCAGGGAACGTGATGTGCTACCAGGCGTGGCGGTTCCGGCTGACAACGCAGGGACAGACAGCTGGACGCCAAGTGTGGAGACTCACCGGGCTACCCACATCTCGATGAAAGGATACTGCTCTGCTCTAAAATTTCACGTTCGCCAAGCGATCGCCTGATTACTAATTAGGTTTCCACGTGAGCTAAATATGGAGAAGGGGAATGTTCCGTCTAGTAGAGAGAGGTTTTCTAGCCTTTATGACAGATGTTTTCCCTCTGTAAATAAGTAGGTTGATACTCATAATTATGAATCCATCTCCTGAGTTTAGTGTGCATGAATAAATAAATCCCTTAAAGCAGAAATATCTCTGAGCTACGGGACAGAATCATGTTTCTGTGATTGCCAAACCGAGGGCCAGCCTGTGAACTGACGGCCCTGTAAACTGTGGAACTCCAAGCTTAGACTGAAACAACCAGCTCGTCTTCACTTCACCTAGCTATAGGAGAATTTCAAACTTGGGTTAGCATGGAAGTCCCAAATGTGGTCTTGAATTAACTCTTCAGGAACTCGGTTCTCACAAGGTTTGGTGATTCTTAGAGTAAGCTCTACCCATCTTATTACTATTGTATTTTAAATATTCATTCTTAAATTCAGTAACTGGCTTCCATTTTTTACAAAGATGGGATTACTTTACCATAAACTTACCATGATTTTCTCTTTTATCTAAAGAAACTGTGTGCACATATATATATGACTTCATTTTTTCTCTTTCTACCACTTGAGTATCTAATGTCAAAGACTTCTTCAGCGCCAGGACTTCATATGTAAGAAATAAAGAACCTCTTAAAAAGAAACAAAAAATTCATCATAAATACATGATCCAAATGTAACACAAGAGCCACTCTTTTCTGGGTTTTTTAGCTGAGGAAGACTGGCCCTGAGCTAACATCTGTTGCCCATCTTCCTCCTTTTGCTTGAGGAAGATTTGCCCAGAGCTAACATCTGTGCCCATCTTCCTCTATTTTGTATGTGGGTTGCCACCACAGTGTGACCACCGTGGTGTAGGTCTGCGTCCGGGAACCAAACCCGGGCCAGCGAAGCAGAGCACGCCACTTAACCACTGGGCATGGGGTCAGCCCAAGAGCCACTCCTTTTTATTAAGCTTTTTGTAGTGAACTTTTTCTTTCTTTTATATTGAGAAACATAATATATATACAGTAATGTGCATATAACATACTTATAGATACTTAAAAAATATTTGTATAACTGTATACACACACATTTCAGTTTAACAAATAATAATAAATAGCTCCATTACCATATCCAGGCAGAAACAGAACATTAACAGTACCCCAGAAGCCCACAATGTGTCCCTCCCTTATGCTGACCTGCCCTCTTACCTCTATAGCTAATTATCAGTATGACTTTTATTATAGTAACACCTTTGCTTTTGTATATAGTATACCACTATGCGTGCATCCTTCAACAACACAGCTTAGTTTCGTCTGTGTGTGAACGGCACAGGAACGGAATCGCACTGCACATCTTCCTTTGTTCAGCCTTCCGTTTGTGAGAATCATCCACGTGGCTGCACGTATCTGGAGCTCAGGCACTTATGTTTTCATGTGGTCTGTGATTCATCCGTTGTATGGGTATACCACAACTTATTCACCCATTCTACCACAGATGGGCATTGAGGGGATTCCTAGTTTGAGTCTATTACAAACAACACTGTTACACATCTTACACGTCTCCTCTGTACTCGTGTATGTGTTCCTCTAGGGTACATATCTAGAAGTAGAATTACAGACTTTCTGGCAATATATATATATGTTGTTCAACTTTACTACATAATGCCTTTTCAAACTTTTTTCAAAAACATTAGCTAATTTGTACTCCCATCACCGGCATATGAAAGTTTCTCCTCTCCCAAGAGTTACAACTAAAGTCAAGTTTTGAATGTGAAATACTATGTTGTTTACTGTGTACCCTAAAATGGAGGTTTTTTCCCCTAATCAGACTGATGTACACACACCCTAAATCCAGACACAAAGGCTGCAGTCTGTCTGGATTCAGAGCTGAGTAACCTCAGTTACAGTAAGTCTCTCCTGAGCTTCCCACCCTAAAGCAAAAGCAGGCAAGACAGGAAGGCCAGACACTGGCCAGCACAGAGGAACAGAGCAGACGTGTTCACTATTTTGATCATGCTTGCCATGAAAGACAGCACTCTACAAAAAATTGTGATTAATTTTCACTATACTTCTGAATATAATTGTGATATAAACAAAGAAACTGCATTACGGAAAAGAGCATACATGTCTCTTTTGCCTGGAATGAGCCAGAGAGAAAAATCATCTAAATACGTTTTGCTCTACTTTACAGTGTCAGAGAGAAATGTACGTATTTGGATAAAATGCCAAATCTCTCTCTTTTACCATTTTAGCATCTAAGCCTTGATTTTATATTTACACTAGTGAAAAAGAGCATTATTAACAAAAACACTAGAGTAGTATTTGACATACATTTAAGATATATAACCCTCCCTCAAAAAAAAGAAAGAAAAGAGAATGAAAAATAATTTTGGAAAGGAGAGTCACTCCCTTCATTAAGCATTAACCTCTGAAACAGAATGAGATGGGTGATGTCAATCTATTGGTTTTCTCCCTCAGGCTCAATTTCTTTTCATAAGAGCTTGATGGTGATTTAAAGGATTTTCAAAAATAATTTGACTCTAGTCGATTTTTACCTTCTTCATCCACTTTAGAATGTAACACAAGAAGAGACTGGACTGCATGCGAGCTAAGTGGAGAGTGCAGGCTCTGTAGGGGTCTCAAGTGCTCTCCTCAGAGCAAGACAGCCAGGAGGGTGGATCCCCATCATACACTTGGACCCAAGAGAAGACACTCCTCAGAAAGCAAAGTAGCTGAATCCAGACAACACTGAAGTGGCAGAACCAGTGATTAACCAGTGATGAATCCACCTGTCTATTCCAAAATCTATACCTTTTTCACTACCCCCATGCTACCTGTAAATCACTTCCATTGAGATTTCAATAGTAGTATAATGAAGCCAATTAATATTTCATAGTTGACACTTACCCTAAAATCAGTGATCCAGTAAACTTTATTATTTTTCCTTCAAAAAGAAAGGAAAAAAGTCAATGTGATGAATTTCCTTTTTTAAATGTGACAGGAAGTAGGCAACAGTGTAAGTCCCTACCTATAATAAATATAATTGGATAAGAAATTACTGATATTTTTCCATTAACATAATCATTTGCTATCAACACATGGCTTCCTATCTCCAGATGCAAACAAACGAACCAATAAGCACTGGGTACGAAAGGAGAATCTGTACTCTGTATTCTCCCCATTTCAGACTCACTCTCCCCTCCCTCCACCTCTAATTCTGTCAGCGCCCACCACATCATAGAGACCTGGTTCCTGCTGCACCACTGACGTTGCCAGGCCAACACTGCTTCCACAAATGCCACATCTGGGGAGCTAACTTCCCTCTGACTCCTGTCAGTTCACAACCAGTTAAATAAAGGAACAGGGAGAACTCTCCCTATCACTACTAGGACTATACTGAGCGATTATGTTTGTCAAGCGGGGACACAAAATGACTCTTCTCAAAGTAACAGTGTTATAATTGGTGATTAAGTGCCAGATGTACATAGCTCCATTTAAAATACAGGTTACATTCTACAAGTTTATTCATAATTTTTTTGTTTGGAACTTGGAAAACATTTTATTAACATTAAAAAAGAACTCCTAGTGGCAGATATAGCTAGTGGCCTATCCAATACACGTAAGCCCCTTAATTCTTACTAATATAACTTGATTACTAAAAATAGTCAACCCGATCTAAAAATATTCAAATTCCCAGACTCCTCTGCAGCTACGGCTGGCTGTGCAACACAGTTCAAACCAATCAGATAGCGATGGAAGCATAGGGAGGGATCCTTCCCCAGAAGAAAAGACAAAGCCTCACACAATGGCTTTTGGCCTTTGTGCTTTCTTTTTTTTTTTTTTTTCTGCTTTATCTCCCTAAATCCCCCCTGGTACATAGTTGTATATCTTAGTTCCAGGTCCTTCCAGTTGTGGCATGCGGGATGCCACCTCAACGTGGCTTGACAAGTGGTGCCATGTCCACGCCCAGGATCCCAACCAGCAAAACCCTGGGCCGCCACAGCAGAGCACGTGAACTTAACCACTCGGCCACAGGGCTGGCCCCCTTTCTGCTTTCTTGATGTCCAGGGATTCAGCAACCATCTTGTGACCATGAGGACAATAAGAATATTTGGGGTGGACCATTAGCATAGACAGAAAAGACATAAAACAAATCATGGATTTATCATTGGGTTAAATAAGTCTTGTGGACCACTCCGGAAACTTAACCACAATCCTATCACTGTTTCTATAGAAAACAGTTGTGTAAACTGTACTCACGGACATCTCTCCAGTATGTGTTGCTTTTTGGTGAAGGAGTTGAAGTTCCTATTCTTCTGCAACAGATGACACAATAAGCAGCCAGGGACATTCTGTGTAATTAGAACAATTACAACAAATTTAATTGAGCATCTAATTAAACATATTTCTTTTAACTAGAAGAACATGTCACAATCACAGTGGACTGTCCACAGAGTTAGAATTTTCAAGACCAGGAAAACTTTTCAATTGAAAAAAATTTCTCTGGGCCAGCCCCGGTGGCCTGGTGGTTAAGTTCCGTATGCTCCGCTTCAGCGGCCTGGATTTGGTTCCCAGGCACAGACCTAAACCACTCATCTATCAGTGGCCCTAGTGTGATGGTGGCTCACATACACAATAGAGGAAGATTGGCAACAGATGCTAGCTCAGGGCAAACCTTCCTGAGCAAAAAAAAAAAGATCTCTCTGTTAAAAACTTAAAACAGACCTATTAGAATATTTTGCTAGTCCTTTGCTATTCTTCAAAGAGTGTCCCACTGTGACCAATGACTAGTAGGAAACAGGAAAACACAGATCATTAATCAGAATATCAATATAGGAATTTAAAATTTTTAAATGTCTTTTTAAAGACATATGCATTTAGATAGATAGATAGATATTTCCATTTCTCTGTGGTGACTGGAAGCCCTACAGAAATGAAAAGCAGCTCTGAATGGAAGATATACACAGAACCATGGAAGTATTTAGTTTTTCTCCAGCTCCTTCATGATGGTACCCAACATTGTTCAAAATCTTTGAAATTTAATTGTTAATTGTTAGCATCCTGTCAAAAAAGGAGAAATATAGCTCAACTATCTCATCAACTGAGTAAAGATGATCGAAATATGATCACGATGCAATGGTTTCTAGAACGCAGTATTCTAGATCATATCAGACTGTCTTTGGATGAGCTATTTTTTCCTTTTTCCTTTCCTATAAGGGAAAAGAAGGAAGATGCTTTGAGAGACTCATGTGAGAAATGGTCCTTTGGTTCACATATAAAAAATTTCTAGCAGCTTTATAGGGATTGGGGGAAATTACTTGGTAGACATGTAAAAGAAAAATCTGTTAGCGATAACACAAAATAAAAAGCTTTCCAATTTTTTCTCGTGATTCTAGTACACCCACTGATGACTAAGCAAACCAGTTTAGGCAACAGGTAAACTTGTAAAGGCCACTGTTTCATGATGTCTCTCTTATTTAATGGGTTGCTGCTACTTCTCTAAGGACATAAGGATAACGGTAAAAGTTATCTAATGGCTGCAATGAAGCAGGTGCTCATAAAACTGGGGTGGAATGCAATGTAAACTCCAGAGTCCAAACAGGTCTTTATCTGCATTGTTCTCTCCTGCTTCCGAGGAAAAGGCCTCACCCCTTTCTCACAGGAAATGTGCCATCTACGCTCTAGACCTCCTCTCTTCTGCTTTCAAAGGGACCTTCAGTCATTATCTGCCTTCGTCTTCTTAATCTTCACACTCTCTTTCTCTTTCAATTCTTTCTGCTCCTCTCCCCTAAATACTGGATGTCCAATGTTCTCCCATCAAAACAAAACAAAAAACAAAGGATGGGAAAAAAAACCACCCTTCCTCCATCAAGTACCATCCCGCTACAAGCTCTTCTCTCCCCAGTCCGCCTTCTGCCAACACTGAAACAGCAATCCTTAAGGTCACCAGTGAGGGACATCTTTGTTGCAAAATCCACTTTCCAGTCATCATCTGACTTGCTGTCGGAAGCATTTGACTACTCTCTCCTTCTCTAGTTGCTATATACCCCGTCTTCTAGTTTTATTCTCACATTTCTGGCTGCGCTATCCCATTACTCATTCAACAAGCATTTATTGAGCACCTATCACCCATTGGGGATGGAAATTTGAGATGTGAATAAGGCAGGATAGCCCCCTGCCCTACGGAACTTACAATTGGCTCTGCTGCCTCCACTCAGCCCTTAGATATTAGTGTTCCAGTGGGTTCCATCTGTGGTCTTTTTTTCTCATGCTATATTCTCTGGCTGAGTAATTTCAGTGTTTTCCTCACAAAGCTCTACCTATAGCTTATGATTCCCAAATCTCTGTAACTAACTCAGGTCTCTCTAAACTTCCGACACATATATTCAATTGCCTAATGCACATTTCAACTTTGAAGCACCACAAACACCTAAAACCTAGAAGGGCTAAAATCAAATCATCATATTCTTAAAACCAACTATCTGAAGATCATTTATTACTACACCATAGTTTCCCCATTGATTACAAATGATTCCTCCATACACCAAGGTCTAATCTAGCTAGGGTCCGTTTCTGGACAATTTTGTTCCACTGATCTGCTTGACTAACCCTGCATCAATGCTATAACATCTTTCTTAATTCCTATACCTTTAAAATGAGCCTTGATGGCTTCTACAGTGAGCATCTCTACACTCATTCTTTTCAGAACTGTCTTGCCTATTGGGATTTTGATTGGAAAGGAATTAAATTTACAGATTAATTTGGGGAGAACTGATACCATATGGAGTCCCTCCACTCGTGAAAAGTATATTTGCAACTCTTTTAGATCTTTTACACTTTTCCTCACCAAGGTCACGCAAGTTTTTTCTTTGTTTCTTCCTTTAACGGAAAATTTCAAGTGTATACAAACTTAGAGTAAAGAAATGGGGTTCATCACTCACCTTGAAAAACTATCAACACTGGCCAATCTTGTGTCATCTATTCCTGCTTTATCCAAAAGAACTTCTGCATGATAGACATGTCCTACATCTGTACTACTAGTGTGAAAATATGCTAGTGTCACTGAAGAACTGAAATTTTAATCTTTTAAAATTTTAACTAATTTTAATTTACATTACATTTTAATTTACATACATAAGGCTAGTGGCTATCATACTGAACAGTGCGCTCTACGCTATATCCCACATCACTTTCCACCACCAAGACACTCCATTATTTTGAAGCAAATCCAAAATGTAGTATCATTTCGCTTATAAATTCTTTAGTATGCATATCCTAAAAAAAGAAAAATTAACCATCATTATGTCCAAAAATATAAATAATTCCTTAGTATCATCCAATATCCAATCAGTGTTTCAACTATTTCATAATCTTTTATTTTGCTTTGCACTATTGGTTTGTTAGAATTAGGATCTAAACAAGATCCACACATGGCATTCGGTTGCTAAGGTGCCTCTTTTTTAGAGTCAGTTATTTCTGTAATTACTGGTTTATTCAGATTTTCTTCCTTCTTGAATTAGTCTTGATAATATCTATTTTTCAAGAAAATAGGCATTTAAGTTTTCAAAATCATTAGCAAAAAGTTGTTCATGCTATTCCTATTTTTTATCCCTAAAATTGCCTACCTTCTTCTGTTCCCAGCACTATTTGTGGTTCTTCTTTTTTACTTTTGAGGAGTCTTCTCGAAGTTTATTAATAGAAAAAACTGCTTATTTTTCATTTGGTTTTGCTGACCATCTCTATTGTATTGCGTTTTCTTTTCTATTTCTGCTCTTCATTATTTTCTTCTTCCTTTCTTCGATTCACCCTGTTCTTTTCCTAACTTGTTCAATAATGCTTACCTAATATATAATGAGCATTTCTTGCTCTTTCATAAACGCATTTAAGACTGCAAACTTACCTCTAAATTTTGCTTTGCCTCAATTTCACAAGTCCTGATATTTCCACTACAATTTCCTCTAATCTGGGGATTGTTTAGAATTGTTTTTTGTTTCCAAACATGAAACTTCTAAAGATTACCTTTTTATTGTGCTACATGACGTGGATTCTTTAGAATTGTGGAGACTTGCTTTGTCACCTGGGTGCAGTCAATATTTACAAATGTATCACATAAACTTATTCTGTGTTATGGGCAAAATTTAGAATACCTATTATATCGTTTATTAACCGTGTAGTTAAAAGTTTCTACAGCCCTACTAATTTTTGTCTGCATGATCTATCAGTAACTCAGACAGGTTTTTAAAGTCTATGCATGAGAGATATTAATCTCTAGTTTTCTTTTGATTACTCTGGTTTTCACATCAAAGTAATGCCAGTCTTATAAAATAAGTTGGTAAGTGTTCCATCTTCTTCTATATTCTGGAAGAGATTATATAGAACTGGCATTTCTTCTCCATTAAAAAGTTTTAAGGTGTTAGGTCTAAAGTGATGTCCTCTTTTTCATTCCTGATTTTGGCAATTTGTGTCTTCTCTTTTTCTTAGCCAGTCTGGCTAAAGGCTTATCAATTTCATTGATATTTTCAAAGAACTAGCTCTTAGCTTTATTGAATTACTCTTGTTTTCCTATTACCAATTTTATCAACTTGTGTTCTTTTACTAGACTTTATTGCTTTGATTTCAACTAACTCCCCTTTCTTAAGTTTCTTAAAATTGAAGCTAAGATCATTGATCTAAGATTTCTTCTTTTCTAACACAAGTATTTAATGCTAAAAATTTCCCTCTAAGCACTGATTTGGCTGCATCCCTCAAATTTTGATATGCTGAGCGTTTTTCCTTTCATTCAATTAAAAATATTTTCTAATACCACTGCAACTTCCTCTTTGATTCATGGGATACTTTCATTGTTGATAGTCCCGTCGAGTCAATTCTGACTCCTAGTGCTCTCCTGTGTACAGGAGAGCAGGGCCCTGCCTGGTCCTTTTTTTGCACCATCCTCTCATCTTCCAGCGTAATATCAGACAATGCTCCGCTGCTATTCATGGGGTTTTCATGGTCAATTTTTTTGGAAGTGGGTGGCAAGCTCCTTTTTCCTAATGGGATATTTAGAAGTGTGTTGTTTAATTTCCAAATATTTATGAATTTCCAGATATCTCTGTTATTGATTTTTAGCTTAATCCTATTGCGGTTGGAGAACAAGCTTTGCATATTTTCCTTTTTTTTAAATCTTGGTTTGTTTTATGATGTGGAATATGATCCATCTTGGTGAATGTTCCATATGCGCTTGAAAAAAATGTATATTCTGTTGCTGTTGGGTAGAGAGTCCTAAAATGTCTATTAATTGGTTCACAGTGTTTTTCAGGTCTTCTCTTCCTTACTGATTTTAATACTCATTCTGTTGATTACTAACAAAGGA